CAAAGAAATTTGAGCACGTCAGGGAATTCTGAACATGAGCTGCTGGCCTCAGTGCTTTATCACTGCTAAATTAGGATAATAACATTTTCTGTTTTCTCAGGCTGCGGGAAATGACCTCAGAACTGTATTGGAATTGACTCTGTTGAACAGATGTTGTAATGAGATGATAAAAAATCTAATTTGCTCCATAGAGGAAAGGAACAGGAAAGTATTTTATTTACATGAAGGGCATAACCACATTAAAACAGCTCGATGAAAACATTATATAGTTCAGAAAGTTGTTACTAGAGTTAGGGCTAATAAAAAAGACACATCTATAAGCTGGTTTGTCGCTGGTTGCTATAGACATAATAACCCACTGAAAATGCTGCAATGACAACCTGGTGCCTAAGCTCTAGGAAACTGAATGCGAAAAACTGGAAGCTCAAAGAGGCAGCTTAAAATCCTGAGGCTGAGTGAGATGTCATCCCAAATCAGCTGCTAGCTGAACTCTTACGCCATGGCAAGAGTTTATCTGTCATTCAATCCAGCAGTGGGATGCCTCCATCCATGGAGAAGGCAGAGCTTGGAGTCTCACCACTTCCAGAGTCCTTTGTGGCACAATTGATCAGAACCTATCGCTGTCATTGTAAGGGAATAGGAGTAGTATGGTCGTACCTGTCCTTTATAAGCTACCATAAACGGTTGAACACCCCCAGGACATGAGAGCTGCCTTTTGCAGCCTTCACTTACATACGTCTCCAAAGTGAGAAGTTAAACCACCACCACATGTAGGTTGGTGCAGGTGGGTGCCCACTCCAAGTCCTTGCTCTGCTCAGCCCAGCAAACATTACTGCAGGAGCAGGACCGAACTGAAGGGGCAAAACAGAGCCTGGTCTTTCAGCCTGGTTCCCCAGCATCCATTGGTGAGCTGTGCACACACAGGCATTTTGCATTAAATAGTTAAAATACAGAAACTACCCTGACCAGGCGCCATAGATCAAGTCTACCCCTTCTGGATGATTTCTCCAGTTACTCAAGTAGCTTCGTGTGCCTCCATAATGCTTGGTTTCCTGCCTATGAAATGCCTCTGTTTTAACATTGCAAGGATATTTCTGCACCTAGGCTGGCCTGCAGCTTGCCAGTTTGCATACTGTCTTGGCAGTCGTGGCTTTTATTCACCTCAGGCAAAGGAAGGAGTTCAGTCCAAAGTCATCTTTATCCCAGGAGAGGGTTCTCTTGCATAGATCGGAGGGTAACAGGTTTTTATCTCAGCTGGTGAAATCATTTCCATGCCCATTTCCAGACTTGTGACCCCTAGCAGAGACTGTGATTTGGGAAATCTCTCATACTGCCTGAATCCAGCGCTGAAGAGCGTCCTTGCAGAGATCTCACAGAGAATATCAGCATGCCCAGTGCGGAGCAGGGGGAAGAGCATCCCCTGGTGAGCTGGGCAGCTCTCAGCACAGGCAGGGTGCAGCTCAGCAGGGACTTGCAGAAGGGCATCTGCTAGGAACTGAGAAGACCAGCCTGGATAACAGCTTTTGTCTTCTTTAGCCCTTTCTGATCTGACTCATACTTGAATAAAATGCTGTTGTTATTTAGTAGGTTCTGTCAGTAAATTCATACTATTGAATGATAGGGAAATTATGGTTTATAAATTTTAGACAGAAAACCACACACTACCCTTATTTTAATACAGCATATGGCAAAAGCTGGATATTTTATGTTAATGGTTTCACGTACTGTTTTAATTTATTTGTATTATTTTGTTTGTCCTTAAATACAAAAATAGCATTATAAATATTTTAGGTGTTTTCTAGTTGTAAGTTCATTTCCCACAGCTGGTGGTCTATTTGGCCAGTTTGGATTAAAGGAATGCCATCAGTTGTAAATCTGATCAGTTTTAAAAGCAAGAGTTAGGAGAATAAATGACAACACGTGCTAATACCCACCACGCAATTTTTCTGTTTTCAAGGTTTTCCTTCCTCTTCTTTCTGGCTGTGCATGGTGTGATCATTCACTCATTGCTGTGAAAGGTACCATTGCCAAGGATTTTACTAGGTGCGAACTTTAGAGATGGCTGCAAGGCTTGGTGTAGCGTGCTATAGGGAGCTGCAGAGGTGTAACCACGTTGTGTGATGGACTGCCTGGACATGCTGTGGGGCCACCCCCCATACAACTGCATTCACATATCAGCACTGTAGAGGCTGCTCTTTGTTGAGGTTTTGTCACTGTATTTAACCAGCTCAGTCTCTGTGGTAGAACAGAACTTGGGGCAGGATGGTTGCATGTGACTTCAGGGAGCGGTGAGCAACTGAAGGAACTGACTGCAGAGGGAAACCAAAGAACTCTGCCCAGAGGACCAAAATATGCACAAAGCCTTAAATTAAGGGGAGTGGAGGAACAGGAATACTCAAGAATAAAGTGATTGCTTTTTTGTGTGTGCTTGTAAAATTGATTTTGTAGCACACAGAGTCCTGAGTGCATTATCTTTCACAAGGTACCTAGAGAACTTGTGAATGTGAAAGCACTACCGGCAGATGGAAAGCTACTACGTTCAGCTTACACAAAGCTCCCTGTCAGTCTGACTCATCCACCCACCTGGTCCATGCTGCCAGTGAGGTCAGGCTTAAGGGGAGCTTTGTTTTCTCTATCTTATACTCGGTCCCATTCTCATACTGGTACATGGCATGCTGTCTGCTGCAGGGCCACTGAACCATCTTTCCCTCTTCTGCTCCCTCCTCAGGTGGGTCTGACCTAGAATGCCTGAAGTAAATGAGGCCATCAGTAATGGCAAACTATCCAGGCAACTGGGCAGAATCTGGGTAGCTGATAAAAGCAGCTGATTTCTTTATCATTATTGTAATGGTTTTCCACTGATTACCTACCACATACCTTCTCTTCATGCTCCTCTTTCTATTCACACACATGTACATGTAACCTTTCAGTAGCCAGGCCTCCCTCCTGTTTAGCATTTCGGGGGCAGGACAGAGGCTGAAGCTGCCTGACGCTCACCCTGCAGGATCGCCAACCAGTGCCACAGTGCATCATCTCAGCCATTCATCTCGTTTAACATCTTGCAGCAACCACTTCCAAACGGTTTGCAAAAATGTGTTACTGTTGCTCTGTATGCAAGTTACGCAACTGGAGGCTTTAGAGGAGAAAGTCGTTTTTAACCCCAGGCATCACAGCATCTAACTTGTCCTTTGGACATTGTTTTTCTCTAGGCCAGGAGGATATTTCTGTTTGTCACATGTATATCTTTTCCTGTTTCATTAATATAAAGGTCTTGATAAAGTGACTTTCAGTTTTTCCCAGATCATCTCAGGGAGGAAATGTTTGCTGTCTCCTCTGACAATTAATCAGAAAAACCCTGTTCCTGTGATGCATAAAAAAAAGCCCCTTTCAGCACTAAAGTACTGATTAATTTATGCAATGTTTGAATGGTTTTCATCAGTTAGCAGATACAACGATTTGATTTTCCTGTATGATGATTTCGTCTGAAGATACCTCACTTGCCAAAAGAGCCTGACAGATCTGATGTGAATACTGGTTTTTTATTACAGTAAATCACTTTGTAAGTCAGATTTTTTACATTTTGATTCTTGCTTAAGAAATAATTCAAAGTAATTGCACTTTATTTTCATTTCGAAGTTTCATTCTTTTAAATGAGTCATTGATGAACCTGTGAGTTCCCTAATGCAATTTAGAATCTAGTCTGCTGTTTTAGATAAACAGCTCCTTCATAAAGAGCGTAAATGCCCAGTCCCACAGTGAGCACTTCTGTCTGCCTACCGTACTTCTGGTTTTCCTCCTTCGCATTCAAAAGAGGCACTTCTGAAGATCTACAGAGTCCAGCCTGCCTCATTTAAATACTCATTACACTCCTTTGACTGCATGAGGTTTTTCAGCACCTTGAGAGACTTAATCAGATTAAGTGCCAGCCACCTTCACTGAAAATAGGGGGAAACAATAGCAAATGTTAGAGAAATGCACATGGCATCCAGTCTGCCCAAAACCTTTTCAGCAGTGGGTACTAGTGTCTCAGCAACCACCTTATGCATTTTAATAAGGATACTGTTCAAACTGTGGGGACCTACAGACTTTTAAGGAACCTGTGAAAAGGTACAAGGAAAAGGCAGCTAATTATCACTAGTCTAAAATTCACTATGCAGAGCCTTGTACTTCTCTATGAATTAAAGTTGCAGTCACTGATCCCTAGAGCTTTTGAGTGTTTTACGTTATATTGGTGGTGTAGAAAAAACAAGAAGCAAAACCTGGATCTCCCTCTTTTCACTGATACTACATGCCCGAAGTAATAGGCTAAAGTCAGACTGCCTCCTGTGTGCTCTCTCTTAGGGCTGCATTAGTCACCTCCACCTGCTTGGGGTAGTTGCTGCTCACAGAGCATAGTCCAGGAGTGGCCATTTAGGGAATATCTGGAAGCATAAAATGCTGTAGCAATTTGCAGCTATAGGAGTGCCAATATTATAAAATCATCACATACTTAGGTGATTAAGCATGCAAGGAATTTTCAGACTAACTGCAGAAGTACCAAATGAATTCAGATTTTTCTGGAGAGCATGCAGTGGATCACTATCTACAAATTCAGGTCAACTTTATAGGCTCACATCCCTACCTGTATAGAAATCTCCCTTTGGTTTTCCCTTTAATAGAGAGATTTTTGCAAATGGCAGTGTAATTTATAAGCTGGCTTCTGAACTTGGCACATAGGAAGGTCAGAAGATAATTGAAAGCAAACTTGGGGTAACAGATTGATAGAGATTGCAGCCTGCCTGCCTTCATTAACACCTTAATTGGGGTGTAAAGCAAACACCCTGGCTCATGGTTGGCCTTTCTACTATCATACTTCCTGGGCGGGAGGCTCATCAGGATGCCAGCTGCTGGCTTCCTCTCTCAGTCAGTATGCACAAAGGTGTAGGTACTTGATTAATTGCTCAACCCTGTGTTAGTGGAGTTGGCTACACAGCTAATTCCTGTTACCTTCATCATGGTCTAATCCTTCTAACCTTCCATCTCTCATCGTGTGTTGAAGCTGGGGGAGAGAAAGCTTTCTTGAAACTTGCCAGGTAAAAGGGGAGCATCCTGGCTCGGGTGGGGAAAGAGATGTGTGTGGATGTCTGTGAAAGAGCAAAGGCTGAAGAGTGGGCTCTTGTGGGGTTAGTAGTGGTGGAGGTCATTTGTGAGCAGCAGGGCTCTTGGAAGAATGTAGGGCTGGAGGGTGTGGAATTGATCAACTTGTGTTTTTGGGTGAGAGAGAGAGTTGATGTATAGTTGGTGTCAGGAGGTGCAATGTTTGGGAAGAGTGTGTAGTTTCATGGAAATTGAAAAATCTTATTTTTCTGTTGTAGTCTATTGCTAGATGAGATTGCTGGCACTTAGTACAGTGCAATTTTGTTCATGTTGCTCCCCAGGTAGAATCCAATGCTCAAGTACTTGCCCATATATATTTGATGAAATGCATATAAAAGTTTGCCAAGAGTGTCTGAGCAGTACTCTGTTTAGGGAAGTATTAATTAGAATGGGTAAGGTAATAAAAACTGTCTTTGCTGTTGAGTTAAAAATAATATAAATATTGAAACAAAAGAACCCCAGAATCATCTTGAAGTTTAGCCAAAAATGTAATATCCTCTTCTGTGTTAATGTTCTTTATGAGGAGAAAGTTTCATTCTTTTTATATGGTTGTCAAGAGACTTGTTTTTGAGGTGTATGCAGTCTAAATCAAGAGGAAATTAAGTCTTGAATAGTTCATAAATCAGTTGTTCCTAGTTGGATTATGAATACATCTAAGTTTAATTATTTTCAGGTATACTTGCAAATAAATTCAACTTCTGTTTTTAACGTGTACAAAATCAATATTGAGGCATATGTGCTGTAATTGTTCCTTTTTTTTTTTTTCTTTTAAACAGAGTCAGAAAAATTCTCCCCTAATAGTAAAAGTAATGGGAAGTTTTGATCTGCAGCTGTGTGTATTAATGTTACAGGCTCAGCTGAAGCTGAGCCCTGTGTAGAGAGGCAGTGCCTTGGATTCTTCCCTTTATCTCTCATTCTGGAAACTGTCTTTGTAGATAGAGACTAGGAATGAAATCAAGTAAAGGTCTGATTGTAGTTGAAGGATCATAGCTTTGATTTGTAGGTTAAATGGATTTTAATTAGCTTTCATTCAGGAATGTTTACTTAAGAAAAATTCTGGTTTGAGGGGTTTCTACCTCTATTTCTCTTATCCGGACCTGCTACAAGCTGATTTTTAATCATTTATATGAGATCATAATGCATATCCTATTGGCTTGTAACTGTTGGACTCTTCTTTACTGGATAGTTCAGCAGGAAGCTGTCCTGCAGGTCCTGATCCTCATTGTGATTTCCTTGATGTGTCACAGCCAGGGCAATGCCCCTCTCCCTCTTGAGTTGCTGTGGGTGACATAAGACATGAAGAAGAAGCTGAGAGGTCTCTGCCACTCTTCCAATAACTAAATTCAGTTATTAGTCATGTAGAGTCTGCATGTCTCGGAGGTGCTTTTGGTGTCAGAAGAGCATTCATAGGGACTTTGGTGTCTCATCTGGTGTGCGGTGCAGAGGCAGCAGAAGGCTGCAGTACCTTTTGGTACTGCACTTGTAACTGCTGCCATCAACTTGGAGATAAATGTGATTAGAAATCTGTAATATTCCAATATATTGGAATAACATTTCCTATGCAAAACTTGGTTTCCAAGGAAAAGATATTTCATTAGTTTAAGATAGTTTTCTCTAGTTTTCTCTGTGTTCAGCCTGCACTTCAAGAACTGGAATATAATTAAGAGCACTTCAGAGAAGTAAGTGTGCTATCATCTTAAACTTTGTGGTTTTTTTTTTTTTTTTTTAGTTTGCTATTTCTTACTTCTTAACAACAGACTTCTTAATGTGTTGTAAAGATTTGATGAAGGCTTTCTCGTGTTGAAGAATGGGCTAGAAAGCTACATCTAGTTACAACTCAAGTCACATTTGAGTCACTCGAGTTGAAATGTAGTCTGTGTTATATAACCCCAATCATGAAAAGCCCATGAATTCTTAAATAAGTACTTTGGTACTGCCTGACAGATTGATTACTCTGCACAGACTCCCTCTCATGCATACACCCATCTCTCCATGCTAGAGCTCTGAATGGAAAAGGATTTGTCTGACTTGAAGTCAATGACAGGGGAATTGGGCTCCTGGAATAAGTCTAGGTTGTAGTAATTCCATTTTTCTTGGACCTAGTGCCTCTGGTTTTTATTCCCCCTTTTTCTTTCTTCAAGGCATTGTATTTTTAACTGTGTAATTTTAGTTTACAGATGGCAAAACCATTTTTTGTATTGTGGTATGTAACAGACTCTGAGAAATCAGTCTCCTTTTCATGGTTGTTGCGTGTAATGTGTGCTAACAAACTTGTGGTTAAGGAATGTAGACGTTTTTCCTTCATTCGCTGTCCTTAAATGTTCTTATCTGGTTTTGCTCAATTGGACTAATACTTTTTTCAAGGCAGGAAAATGTTCTTGCCTTGTAAGAAAGTCTCATACTGAAAGTTTTCTGATCTTCCTGAGGCCTAAGAACACTGTTGTGCAACAAATAATAAAAACCTGTTCAGTAAAGTACCTGTTCACTCTTAAATCTGTTGTGTGACATCTCATAAAGAATGGAGTATGAACAGAGTGTGTTCCTGGGGTGCATATTATGAATTATTGCTGTCCTTGTTGAATGTATAATACTTCTTGGTTGAGAAACATACAGTATGAATAGTTTCTTCTTTTCCCACATCAGCACTTGAAGAGCATTATGAACTTCAGCATCCCTAAATATCATGTGGCAGTTTAATCCACTCCATTTGCTTACTTCAGAACAGTTTACATAAAGCACAGCATAATTCTAAATAAATAAATAAATAAATGTTTGAAACTTTGTTTTGCCACAGTTGAATTTGGTGTTTCTCAAGCTACAGTTGTGTCTTTTGCTGCTTCTATGTTCTCCGTGTTTTGATACGCAGTGTTTGGTAAGGTCATGAAATTGCAACTAGAGTTAAAAGTCGGTGATATAAACTACTTAAATAGATATTTTAAAATGTTGAAATCTGCCTTTCTATACAAATCAATGCATTCATTCAGTAACTTAAGAATATAAAGATAAAATTCAACTGCATTTGGAGAAGCTTCTTCAAAGATTGAAATTAAGTTTCATGAAGTTGTTAATTGAGTAAATATGCATATGAAAAGATATAACTTGTTAAATATTAATAAAATAATAGTATTTCTAACTGTCTCATCATACCTAAGGGGAATAATCTTGAAATTCTATGTTTTTCAGTACTAGTCAAGTGAAGAATGTGGTTAAGGGCTGAAATTATATGGAATAGCAGGTTTCCTTAATGCTGTTTTCTCACCAACATCAGGCTGCTGCTGTGGAGGCAGTATGGCAGATCTGCTTTGAGACTTTAAGTTAAGGGTTACATCTATATAAAGCACATATTTATGCAATTATCTGCAAATAGTTATTTTACCTTCTGATTGCAGTGATGAAAATGTATGTGTTCTACTTACTCAGTATTTATCCACTAGAATTAGGCAAAGAATCAGCAGTCAGGTTTCTGCATATGTGTCCTGGTTCTGCTACCAGTATCCTGAAATCAATGTCCCCGTTGCCAGAAAGGCAATTATGATTACTTTAGTTATTAGATCACCTTTTGATATGTAGCACATATTTATTTTACACAAAGCACTTCCAGGAAGTTATATTTTCAATAGGTGGCAGGAATGTTTTGTGATCGAGCTGTTGCATACTGTGCGTCCCATAACATAGGATCTGAGGAGACTTCCTTCGGAAGCTGCTATGAAGGAAGCAAAGATTAACTAATTCCCGGTCTTCTTCTTTGAATCCATCTGTTTCCTGTGCTGTCTCTGCAGGCCTTGAATCAAATAAACATGTAAGTCCTCTTCCAAATCCCAGGAATTAAACCACTTCCAGGAATTACTGCTGTATATAATATGAAATAGCATATACAGCTGACATACAGAAATTGAATGTCTGATCACTGAAGTGGGATATTTCTATAGTGGATAGTTTATAAGCCAGAAAGTGCCAATTTAAAATTTTTAAGGAAGTGCAAAGCTGCTTTATGTCTTGGTGTTTATGTATGAGTGTGTAATATAGTGTAGTTGTTGACTCTGAAATACTGATTTTTAAATGAAACTATTCTATTCTAGAAACATACTTCCCCCAGAGACACAAATAATGTTTATTCTTTGAACTGGAATAATATGATGAGCATTTCATTGTGTGTTTTAGGGATGACTGCAGAACTTCCCTGTGAATCTGAGAACTTCAGTAACCAAGTTAAACTGTCTATATTTGGTTTATTTTTACTTCCATATGGAACATGCTGGGTTATAATTTTTATTAATTTTTTTTAATCTCAGTGTAATTCATCTTGTTGGTTGGTTTGGCTTTTTTTTTTTTTTTTTTTTTTTACTAAATATGTGTATCATATATTATTGTAATTGCACAAAGCTAAATAATGGTGTTCCTTAGCAGCAATATAACATCATCTTACTCTGGTTTAAGTTCTGCCAGATAACAAACAACACTATTGTGTAGTGCTTATAACATTACAGCAAATAAAACTTTAAGGGTATATAGAAGGCTTCTGTGGAATATGTCAAGCTGAATTTACTCCAGTCCTTTAAGAATAAGAAACTTGTTCACAATACTTAAAATAAAGACCTGGAAAAAAGAAATGCAAACAATACATGAAATAGGAATGGAATTTATGCTATGGAAGCAATTAGATTATTCTGCTCACAAATCAGTTCAAATAATTTTTTAAATTGTTTTTTCCCAACAGAAAAAATATAAAAATGTTAAGAAAATAGACTGCATGTATGCAACAGAAAATGGCTGCTAGAGGCTTTGCAGTTGTTCTATGTCTTTGTGCTGAAGCAGCGATCTAGTAACTAGGAAAGATTGACTGAATCTTCTGTGCAAACACTGCCTCATATCTAACAAATAATTCAACTTTAACAAAGTCTTTTAAATGTATTTATCTCTTTTGGTATCATTAGACTGGAACTAATCTTATGTTTATGAAGTACCATGTACTTTT